GGTCGTCCGACCCGCTGGCTGGTGCTGGAGGGAGGTATCGCTCGGGTAATAAGCGAGCCGTCCCTGTTACACATCTGGGAGAATTAGAGTTCAGAGCTCAACATGATAACCTCAGTTGCACTGAGATAATTCTCTGGTGTGCTAGTTATTAACAGCTTTCACCGAAGTAGCAGCAGTGAAGAGCACCTGTGAAAGTCAAGAGTTTGTGGAGCTATGTCTGAAGCTTGCGCTACACTTCACATACTTCTCTCCTGAGAGTACTTTTCTGGCTTCTCAGCGCCTAATGAGGCACCGTTCAGAGATGAAATGGAACTTTATGATGGTCATTTTCACTGTTTTCATTACAGACTTTGCAATTTATCTGGCTAGCACTGAGAACAAATACTTGTTTCTTTGATTTTATTTTACTGTGTGAAGTAATCTGGAAACAAAAGAAAATATACAATGATACAATCCAGAAAAGTGAAAGTTTCGCTATACTAACTGTTAGAGATAAACTAGGAGCCACCAACTATGTTGGTGTTTTCAACCCTGTCTCTATGTTGCTACACGGAGGCTTTGCAGCACCACTTGTGATACCCTTCAGGACAAAAGAAAGTCTGAAGGAGTGGAGCACTGAATTGTAATGACTACGCTCTGTGCAAACTTCAGGTGCTTTTGTAAATTTCCATATTCAGGCTCAGTGAGTTGTCTCATTTGCTTCACCACGAACTCATTAAAGACAAGATTATTGCTTAGAACTGCAGGTTGTGTTACGGGTATTTAAGGCCCAGTAACCTAGTTCTAGGCCAGGCGATTTGTTTTAGCCTGTTTTGTTCAGTTTCTCCCGCTTCATTTTTTCACTTACCAATTTCACCTTTGTATTCTCAAATAGAAACTGTCAGGACAAACATACTCCCAAATTTGGTTCTCAGAAGTGTATTTTACATTAGCAGCAGCTCCTGTATAAAAATTCCAATGTAGATGTTTTCTTAAAAATGCAAGTGTACAATCATTCCAGCAAAATGCTTGCAGCTCAAATATTCTAAGCTAATTAAACATAAGCGCCCCCCCCCCACCCCCCAAGAGTATGATGCAGCGGAAACTGCCCTTTCAAAATCTCATCTTAATAATCTGTAGGATGATAACGTAGTAGTATTAATATCCATAACAAAATGTGGTTTTAAAAAAAATGTGGCCAGGTACTCAGTGTACATCTGCGTTTCCCCTTTGAAATTCCTAAGTAAGCCTTACAGCTGTATAGGGGAGTCAAACAAGGAACCAGGTATAGACCTTCATACTGAGCCCTCTGTCTTTTATTTTCATTTCACATATAAAGTTTCGTCAGCTTAAGTACTGAGGTCTTGAGGAATCTCACCTAAGCAGCTTAATGTAAGAGCCATTTCTCTCCAACAAAAAATCTTGCTGAATTTCAATTTGACTGCGTCAGAATAAACCCTACATTCCTGGGGATAATCTCTCTTTTAAAAAAATGAGAACATAGGAGCTACACAGCACTTACTCATCTTTTTTCTGTGCTCACTTGAGGATTAGAACTGTAGTAGAACTATGCCCTTTCATTAGTGGTCATTTTTTTCTTTCATTTTTTAGCAATATTTGAACATAAAATCTCAATTAAGAATGAGATCTGACTACACCAACTTTGGTGACAGTGATCCTCTGCAGGTGTTTTAGTATTCTGTCAATTCACAGTTCGGAAGCAATTTTCTGCTTTAGTACAGAATATATTCTGATACTTGGAGCACTGACAGCCCTTTTATCACCTGCTCTGAGCACAGCCTTTGGGAGGACACTGCACAAAGTGAGTTAAGCTGGAAGCACACAGCATACACGTTTTGACATGAATGCAACCTCAGTGTCAAATACATCAACGAATACAGTGCCCTTTCTTGCTCTATTAGTCTGGAAAGACTGATTTAAGATAATTTAACCTAATTTCCAACCAAATGATTCAGCATTTATTCAATTTGATTTTATGTCAAGAAGACTGATGCCTAACCTAGCATCGTGTAATCAACCCTGCTTCATTTTCTCAGCTGGCATTAGCAGGAAATCCCTTCTTCACTGACTAAAACTTCTACTTTTCAGCTGCATTTTAAGCAGGGAAAGAAAAAATAAAAAGCCAGTATCTCATGCAGAGGGACCTGGGGCCTGCTTCATTTTCCATCTTAGTAGCAAAACCAGGTTAGATGGCAGCAGGATAATATTCTTGTTTAAAAAGTACCTACAAATATGACTGTATTACAGGTCAAGGCCAGAACAGTGTTTAATTTTGATTTAAAATAAACAATAGTGAAGAGTGCATCAAATAATTGGTAAATTGCTCCCATGGTCAGTCACCTTTCTTCTCTTAAAAATGTGACTTCACTTGTGGTACTAATTTGCTGCCTTCCATTTTCTCTCCCTTGGATCCTCTTCTGTCTTTGACTGATAAATTGAAAATCCTTTTGTTACCAGATTTCTCTTCCTCTGTAGATATTAGTAGATCACAATCATGTCTCCCCTCTGCACTGCTCTTTCAAACTGGAGCTTTATAAGCCTTCACTTTTCCAGTCCTTTCATCCTCCTCCTAACTGTTCTCTGGCCACTTCCAGTTTATCACTTTCCCGCATTTCTGAATCAAAAGTAGAAATGGTATTGACTCCTGCGGCAGGGTCCAAGGCAACGCTAAAATAGTCACTACCGTGCAAGGGGGCAGAGCTGTTTGCTTTAACGTAAGCATGCTGCCATGGTTTGGAAGTCTCAATTCTGGCTGGCTGGCTGGGGAAAATGTTGCTGTCACCACAGTGTATACCGGTCAGCTGCTCAGTGTTACCTAGCTGCTTTGACAGGCACCGTCTACCGAATCAGAGCTTTCACTAACATTGGAGTTCAGTGGGAAACGGGAAACCCTGTGGGAGGAGAAACAAGATCTTACGTTCTGAACCTACAGTGGCTGTTGTGTCCCAGCCTTTCCTGAGGGGTTTGGAAAGTTGAATCTTGCTTCCCAGAGCCGCAGTGAGTTTTGGGTCACTGCTGATCTCACGTGGCTTCTGAGCTCTCCTACTGCAGTGGAGCTGTATCTTCACTCCTCCCCCACACTTCAGGCATCAAATACCTCCCCTCTTTGGTCACGCACCCATCAGTTAAAACACTCCTGCAGCCACAGCATGGGAACTGGAAGCTCATATACAACTGATTTTCCGCCAGTCTTCAAGTCCTTTTCAGTCATTGCTTCCCACAGTAGAAACCCCCATTCCTTAAGTATGGCCTGCCTCCGATTCTGTTTTCAAAATGGAAGTCTCAGAGGTTTCCCATGAGAAGTAAGTAAGCATTCGATATCATTCTGACTCAACAGGTGGTCTTCATTTTCTGTAGCTCTCCTACTCTTAAAAACAAAAACAAAATGAATGTTTTAAGAGCTCAGTGCAAGAATCCACCCCTGTAAATAAAACAGAGTATTGCTGCATAGGCTGTATTCAGCTCAGCATAGCATGAGCGGCTGTTCACTTTGAGAACTCCTGCACAGGGACACTTTATGTTGTGAAGGAAGTTTGCATTTCATCTTGCCCTTTATTGTTTCACTCATCACATTACTCCACAATACAGCTTCTGTTCCATGGATGGCATTGCTTTTTTGTAATTATGAAAATTACATTGGGTATCTAATGAGCTTGCACCTCCTGACATCTCTGCTCTTAACTGAATCTTTGTAAAATCTTTCTCAGACATTAGCTAGAAAGAGGACATTTAGAGTTCATTTAGTCACATGCTTCTACCTCTCTCTTCCAAGACACGAGGACAAGGAAGACCTCATCAGCAGTCCAGCCATCGCCAAGAACTGGGCATTTACATCATCATCCTGTAATTAGGGCAGAACGATTATATCCTGGCCACTCATTTCAGCAACTGGAAGTGGAAGAAGCATCCACAGATACTGCGGATGGGGTTCGGGTGGAGTGTTATTTGCATCAGCGCTGTCTTTAACCATTTCGTTTTGATAAGCTTAAGCAGTACTTTTCCCTCTTTGCTGTTTAATGATACTTCCCTCTCTTCCTTACCCTGTTATTTTGTGATGGGAGTTGTAATCACAGCCAATAATTACATAGAAATCGGGAACTGATTATTGTCAAACACCAGAACAAACTATTCTGCTGCAGATAGATGTGTCCTCCCTTCAGAGCCACTTTGTACTCTACACCCCCCTCCTCTATCTGGATGCTATCCCCTCTTTCCTTCAGTGGCATAGTCACTTTCTTATTAAGGGGAGGCCAGGACTTGGTGGTACCCTGGAGGAAGGCTGGGGGAAGAAACACAGGAAAACCTATGGGAGGGACAGCAGCATCCCCTGCTGCAGTGCAGGGGGGGAGGTTTCTCAACCCTGTGAGGGATTTCAGGACAGAAGTGCTTTTTTCTCTTGTTCCCAGCCTAGAAAGGGTTTGATATCTGGTTCAGTCAATCGTAAAGTGACAATCATTTTTTAAACTGGTAATAGGATTACCTGGGCCCAATCCAAATATAGCTAGTTTTAGTTCTACTATCAATTAAGTATCTGATCTTCCTCTACAGTCTGACAGCTTCAACTTTCAGCCAAATTGTGATCACTCAATAGCTTGACTGTTGCTGCTTTCTGCTCTTTAGCCCTTCTAATACTCTATTGCTACCTATCCTATCTACATAGAACACAAGCACAGAAATTACCTCCTTCATCCAGCTGTCATTAACAGCGTTATGCAGCTGAATCACCTCACTGGTTCCCCTTCTTCCATCACATCAAAAATAATCTTTTTTCCTTCAAGACCTCAAGTCATTCCACACTCAGTCCATGTCTCATCTAGTTTGTTTTTGCATCCCATGTCAACTGTTCTTGGCAGTAACATCAACCTTAGTGGCTGTTTATTCTGTAATACTTTCCTAAACTTTAGCCATGCTAACACCGCTCCGCAAACAATTCATTTAAGGATACTTATATTATGTTAGCAGTCGTTTAACAGCACACACCAGGACCAATCTGATTTTGATTCAATCATTTTGTTAACCATTCCCTGCAGTTGAAAAATTGTGTGACCTTGCAATGTTTTATCTTGGCATACTATCTGTTTATAGAAAGCTTCTGGTCAGTAAAAAAGACAGCGTGTGCAGTGAGAGCCAGTAGTTCCCACTGGAGGGATGAGCGTGATCACCATCGAGAACGGCAGAAACCAGGTGGTGTATTCGCATGAACGATCCTTCCTTCCACCTGAGCACAGCTGACTGGTAGGAAACTTTGCAGCAGGCTGGCCTTCTATGGTTGTGCAGCTTATTTACGTATGACCTATGCTACAGAGACTTATTTTCCAAATCCCATAAATACTTCAGTAGTAATAAACAGCCAGTAGAAATATTGTATCTTCTATAAAAGCAGCCCTGGTCCGATAGAGAAATCACTAAAGAAATTCTCTGCTGGTGAAAGAGGAAGAAATGTTTTTGAACTTAATGGAGCTGCAACCATTTACAGCAGCAGAGAGCACAGCCACTAATTTCAGTTTCCAGATTATTAGTAGAAAGACATTCCCAAAGCTGATATGACCAGCTTGTGTTTGAGCCATGGGCAATTTTCTTCTACAAGCCTAATGGTAAAAGGCAAAACAACAATTAACTCCTAAATGGTTAAATAATTATTTCTGACTCATTGAGCAACACATATGCATAATCTCTTTGTAACCATGAGTCACCGTTATTCTCTGAAGCATAGATGTTCCAGGCAGATTCTCATTTCATTTTTCACTTCACAGCAAATATTTTATGTAGCGCTGTACCTCTGAACTCATTTTGTGCTTGCTCAAGCACTTAAAGTGGAACCTAGCCGCTGGACTTAGTGAAAGCTGAGCTGTCAGGCTAGATCGGAACAGATGTTCTTGCCGCCTGGAGTAAAATGTATTCTGCAAGGTACAAATGGAAACCTGAAAATCCTTGCAATGTATTATAAAACTCTTAAATTCTAAACATGAACAATGTAAGCAGTATTTATAAAAGTGCAGTCTACAAGTTTTTCTTACTTTCTTGAGGAGAAATGAGAGAGGCTCAGATTTAATTTTGAAATGTAAAATGTGATGAACGTTAGGTGGGTGATTATTGGGAAGTACTGCACAAAGCTGCAGGTATAGCTTAAAGATTCCACGTATTGACAGAAAGTTGCAAAAACAACATTTTAGCCTGACCAGCTTAACAAAGGCTGCTATAATAGCTGGGAGTAGTTCTGTATAACCCAAACCACATGATGATGATACAGATGAAAAAAATGATACAGATGAAAAAATCCATGTACTCTATACCTAAATTTTCTACTGTCATTTCTAATGGACTGCTAAAAAGCTCAGTTAAATTGGCAAAACCCCTGAAACCTTAGCAGGCTTCCAGTAGGCATATCAAGAATTGCCTTTTGCTTTTCATTTTAATGGCACAGCAAAAAGGACAAAAGGCAAATATCACAAGTTGCAGCAAGGGAAATTCCAGTTAGATAATTAGAAAAAAATAATCCACAATGAAGGTGGTAAAGCACTGGTTCACATTGCCCAGAGAGGTGATAGAATCTTTATCTTTGGGGACATTTGAGACTTCACAAGTCCTGGAGCAACCTGATCTAACTTCAAAGTTGGCCTTGCTTTGAGCAGTAACTTGGACGAGTTGACCTTCAGAAGTCCCTTCCGGCTTAAATTATCCTATAGTTTTAGATAATTTTGTCAAGGAGCTGGTCATGACTTTATTGCTGATAAGAGCCTACGTATTTGTGTAAGAGGTGAGTGTGAGTGAAACGTGTATTATGACATTATGACACAAGCTCTTGATACAAGATCTTGTGATCTCATCCCTGCTAGCCATGAACTGGGGTTTTTTCAAGGGGTGGTGAAGGCCTGCCTAAGAAGTGAGAAGTTACCGTGTCACGTATCCAATTAAAAACCAAAGGCCCTGCAAAGTTTCTAGGAAAGGTGTCATATTGTGTGAAAAATCAGCAGAAACACAACCTTTTTCCTACATGTTACTCAAGAAATTCCAAGCATGCTGTTAGACAACAGCATTTCTAAGTTGTTGCTGAACTTCAGAGAAAGAAAACAGACTTTCCTGGCACTACCCAGCTGAACACATCACTTCTCTATGAATTGCATTGCGTTGCCTTTCAGATCTCAAGACAAGAACGCGTGCTGTGAGAAGAAGCAGGATGGTTGCGCTCTGCTGTGAGAAGGAAACCCCATTTGGATTGCTCTTTGTTTCCATCCAGATCATAGCTCTAGCCGTGTGAGAAGTAGTCTTGTTTATAAAGTTCCTGTCATAGGCATGGCTGGCTGACTGGATGATTTGGCATAGCTTCATCCAGCTGTGCACATATACTACAATTGTGAGACAGTTTTATCTTTTCACAGTAGGGCTCCAGAAGGTAATGCAGGCCTACAGAGTTAGGAAGTAAACTAAGCCTTGGCTAGAACCAGATCTACCAACCCAGTTTATATATATGAGGCCAAAGAAAATCTGGTGTAAAGACACCAGGTCTGCTCGAGGTCTTGCAGGTTTCTCAGACACGAGCTGTGCAGCATCAGACTACACAACTCCCATCAACATGGTGAGGAAGGAAGGAGAAGAGAGACATGAGTGGTGTCACTGCTGCAGAATTACTCTGAAACTTCATCTTAAAGTAAGTCAGTTAGCATTTCAGTTGGCATTTCACATTAGCACCTCTGGTATCATCTACTTTTCTCTGTCTCTAACATAGAGTTTCTAGGCTCACAGCTTGGGTCATGTGAATATACTGATTGTTCTACAATTCCCGTGTGAATTTCTCCTTTGGATTAAGTGGCCCTTACCTGCCAGTGATTGTTCCTGGCCACTTTTTCCTGCCCTCCACGTTGTGAAAGTACACAATTCCTTTAAATTGAGCAACTACCCCAAAGATGCGTTTTTCCCAGCTGGATCAGTTCCCCAGTTTGGTTCACTGCATAAAAGCCCACATGGCAGCAGAAAGGTGAGGAAGGGATGGCTGCAACTTTTCTGGCAACGATACACATTTAAATGCACATCGGAAAAAAATCTCATAATTTTTCTTTACCGTTCCCTTAACTCCTCCAGTCCTACCAAACTTCCTGGAGAATCATTCCAAAGAAACAAAATTAAAATATGTTAACGCTCTCTATACAGACTTGCTGACTTCCCATTTCAAAAAGTAAGACAAAGCCAGAAAAGCTTTCCAAGGATTGGTCAGCAGGTGCTTAGACCCCAAAATATTTCACACACAATGGACTGATGCTGATTTTAGTTCTCATGAATTTAGTGCACCAAAAGCTAGCTATTGTCACGCTTTTGGATGGCACAAGGTACAGTGACATTTAATAACTAACTCTGCTTTAAGAATCTGCATTGTATGTTTCTAATCCAATTTTCAGTGCAACTAGCAGGAAATAAATCAGATGGCATGCTGTTAGGTTTTTCTTAGACACCCCAGGCTCTATTTTTCCTACTGGATTGACAAGAGTGTGAAGTGATACTGCTTTAAGGAAGAGCTTTCTATTTTTGACTTACCTGTTCAGCTGCATACCACCTGTCATTGTACTTACATGCGCTATACCAAATTTTTGGTAATATCATTCTTTTCTAAGGCATATTTCATCTCCCAGGGCTAAAAGCATGGTCTGAGAACTCTAATACATACTGGTGTTCCTGCACAGCCAGTAACATCGTACTAGGTCTGCTGTTATAGAATGGGCCTCTATTGCTCAGGCTTATGTATTTTTAGCCAAAAAGCTAAACAAGTGGGAGGCTACAACTTCAGTGGAACATCTACTCATATGAATTGTGTTGGGTGAGTGGCTACGGTAGCCCCCTTTTTTCCCCCTTTCTCCTACTGAGCGCGTAAGAGCTCATCCTGTCCTGTTTTTTGAGTAATGAACATTCCTATACTTTTCATTCTGACCACAGAGAGCTGGTAAATTGTATCAGTTCTCAGAGAAAAGCTACATCGGTTTCTTCTTTCCTATTCAACACCCTAAAAGATAGTCCTGAAGTTGTGGTGCCAGCTCTTTCCCATGCAATAGATCAGAAGATTAAAAAAAAGTCCAAAAATCTTCATCCATTTCTTTATTATGTAAATCAGTAGACCTATCAGTACAGTCATGCTACCCACTAGCACACACAAACCATGCAGATTACTGATCAATTCTTAAAACCTAATGTAACAAAATCCCACACAAAACTATTACAATAGCAGTCTATAGCCACTACGTGGTTTAGAGCAAGACAAATCCTAAGGAAACAGAATCAGTCACCATAAGCTTGCCGTAAAAGTGTGGCAAGAGCCAACAGCGCATATAAGTAAATAAAAAATCGGGGTCCCTGAAAATAACAAATCACACAACCTGACTGCTGTAATATGGTGAAAGGTTGTAGCCGTACAAGTTGCAGCCTTAGGATCAGGAGAGCACAGACAAGCTTTCTGCCATTTCTGTGGTTGCTGAGAGCTCTGTGATGCTCCTATGTAGTCAACATCTGGCCAGCAGAGAGAAGCTACAAATAAATTCCATATGTGAACAAATATCGGCAGCGACTGGTCAGAAATAGCAGGGAGGTTCAGGTCTGCTGACACATCTGAACTTTCCGGCTAGCCCAAAACTTGCACTGAATAAAAACCGCAGACGGCAGTCCGAGTCTAATACCAATATAGTGCATATATATTAGCAAATCTGTCTTCCTCATCTCCTTCTCTCCGCCCATCCTTGATTTTGATTTCTCTGATCTCTAACCAGTCTAGAACTTAGTTTTTCTGAGTGTAGGTGGAGCCAAATGACTTCTGGGGAGGGGGCAATTTTCTTTCTTATAAAATCCAGCAGCTTATATATCCTGAATGAGACACATTGATTTCTTCTGCTGTGCCTACCAAGAACAACGAGTAAGACGACCTGGTAGTTTGCAGCACAACTCAAGAACTTAGGTACAACTGGGAGGTAAAGGAAGAGCTTAATATCCCATGAAAACCTGGCTTATCTGAATAAGGTAATTTCTTTATGCTATACTTCATTTTTGTTATTTCAAACAGATTGCTCAGAGCATGCTGCCACTATCTTCCACCCTGATATTGCAGTAAGTTGTTTTACAGACCCTGTTCATTTAGGCTGGCTCTTACTGAAATTATGTTAGTGAAGTTAGAAAGTACAATTTTGTTAAGAGGTCTTGAATTTGTGCCTGAAGAGCAATAACTAGCACAGCTATGTTGTATTTGAATTTGGGGAGGCATGTGAGCATCATCAGGGTCAGTTTGCAATGTTATATGAGGACCAGAAAGAATCTGAGTCTGATGAACACAGTAAGTACCTATCCCTGGCTACAGGTATGAGGGAAGTTTTAGCATGCCTTACCATTTATTTCCTTCTCTTCCCCTCTTTCTTTTACTCTAACAGTTAAAAAATTATTGTAGTTGTTCTGTTGTCATCTTGTGAAAGACCTACTTCATATTTAGTTTTAAGTAGTCCATTTTCCTGAGTAGTTTCCACTTGAAGGTAGTTTTAGCGGTAATTGTGTCCCGGTACCAGACTTTAGGTTATAGTAGTTTTGCCTTTATGTATATCAGCAAGCAATTCTTCTCCTTCTCCTTCTCCTTCTCCTCCTTTTCCCTTTCCCTTTCCCTTTCCGTTTCCCTCTCCCTTTCCCTTTCCGTTTCCCTTTCCCTTCAAATCCACGTTGAATTACCATGCTTTAGTGGGAAACAAAAACAAAAACCCACTAGCAAGTCATGGTTCTTCATGTAAGTATGACAAAGCTTAATACTAGCCTTTTTTCTCTTCTTTGGGAACCTGCTTCTGCAAAGTGCTGGGTATCCCTGGCTCCTGCGGAATCCATCCCGCCTCTAAGTGATAGTTAATGTAGTTATTCAGGGGCATTTATGTATTAGTTGCATGAGAACCAGAAGACTACGGTTCGTGGCAACTGGAATCTTTTCTTGACTTCACTACCAAGTTGTTCTGTGAGCTGCAGCAAATATTTTTCAATCATTCATAAACTTGCCTTTATAAAAAAGGAAATTAGACCACTGAGCACCAGATAATTAAATAATGCAAATCTCAGTCTTTCCAAGTTTAGATGGCACCCTAAAATGAAAGCAGCCAAACAGGACTTGTATAGTTCATTATTGTTGTCTGATATTATTGCCACAGACAGTGCAGGCATTTGAAGCATAGTCATTTCCCCCATCAGGGTAATGGCCCTACTGGCAGAGCTGCCTGGTCGTCCTGCTGCGCACACCACAAGCACAGATCACAGCATTATGACTTTCTTGGCTGAAGCTTCTGCCTCGCGGGGCATCTGCTCCAGCAGCCATGGGGAAGCTCAGAGAGAGGAAACAGTGAGATCCTAGAGATGATGCTTGTGCTTCCAAGCACAGCTTTGCGCTCTCTGAGAGATCTGGTGTGCTAGCAAGTGCAATGGACAGGGCATTTTCCGTACAGCTTTTTCTTCCTTTCTTTTAATAGGTCAGTTTTAGCAGTAAGAGGAGAAACTAGAAACTTTTAAAAACTTGCCACTCACAACTGCTCAATAGTTAAGAGATTTTGGGGTGACTTTCTCAGCTGAGTTTTGTTCTCACTTACATGCCTGTAGTCCTCTTTCACCTGCAAGCAAAGAAGTGTACTGTCAGAGCATGCTGTCAGATGCACACACATCTACCCACTGCAACATCTCAAATTTTCCCTACTCAGTTCAGGCATTTCAGCAATTCTCTGCAGTACGTAGCTGCACTGCTTTACGATCTGCTTTAAGGACTCCTGGGAGAGATAATAACCTTATTAACTCCTCAAGCAACTGAAATGGTCTCTTCGTTTTGGAATTGCATCTAAAACTGTAATCATTAAAACAGATTGGAGAATGAATTCAGAGCTGTGATATGGAAGATATACTTGTAGGAAAAAGTTCATGAAATTTTTGTGAGTAGTAGGGCCTGATTTATACTCTTTTTAGGGCAGGGTTTGCCTAATGAAGGTGAAGAGTCCTGGGTGGTGTCAGGAAGTAGTAGATTTTATCATGGTTGTCTTAGTCTGGGTGCAGCTTGGTAAGTAGCAGCAGTTCTTCTATCTGTCCTGCGGCACAAATCCTAATCCCTTGCCTAGGCATGTCCATGCAGGGTGCAATAATGTCAGGATCACTCTGCCGCAGCAGGCTTATTGAGATGGAGTGCTGCATCCTTCTTTATGTACGATAATGACTGTGCCTCTCGAGCCCATCAAGATACGACATGGCCATACTTTGATCTCATTTTATATTTTCTTACAGTATCTGAGCACTGACACAAGTATTCATGTTTTCAACCTCATAATATTCATGACCTATAAAGGTATTGCATTTGACAATTGAGAAAACTGGGGGGCAGCAAGATTAAATAATGTGCTCAAGGTTATCCAGACACTGTGAGAATGAATTCCAGAGTTCTCTGTATAGACCCCAGCCACAAGGCATTCCTTCCTTTCTTGTGTCTGAGCTTTTAGATTTTCAGGATATTGCCTTTTGCAACTGACAAATCTCTAGCTATGTCTGTCATGCAAATGTGTCCAGTGCCATATGTTAATCGGAAGTTTGAGCCAGACACATGGCAGCAAGACGATCTTGCTTCTGTTCTCTACAAGACTCTGACTGGTGCTTTGTACTGGATGGCTTGTAGAGCTATGGATTCCCTCAATTCTTGTCATTCCAGCTGTGCACAAGGAAGATAAATGTAAGTATAGCAAGATCATTTGTAGCTCACATTCTCCCTTCTAAATCAAAACAGCTTTCTGTGCCATGTCTATTTTACTCTGTTGTTGATAGTGCGACATGCCTGCTTGAAATTACTTCTAGGTTCCATGAAAAAACACAAGAAGAGTAGGAATGTTTCCCCCTCCGCCAGATCTTACATCTTCTATGCACTGCATGATTTTTCCAAGCTAATCACAAACCTGCTAAGGAGAAATATGCTTTTTCAGCTACACATTTGAGAGGATATGCCTGTCTATTGAGATGTCTTCACAAAGAAGCACGTGCCACATTTTGACAAAAATGCTTTGCAGCACTGGAACCATCAATGTTTATAAATGCCCATACGTTACCAAGAGGGCTCTAAAGGCCTTTCCCACTGCTCCTTTCAAGTTACTTACAATGTAAAAATGACTAGCTTGCTTCAGGCCAAAAGGGGATGCCTCCGGTTGAAGAATAGATTAAGCGTAAAGTAATAGTTTCTGGGTTCTGATTCTTTGCAGATTGGAGACTTCCTGAACCAGAAACCATTTTTAATATTTAATGATCCTCAACAGTTTTTAACACCCCAAATGTATCTAGTATTTCCATGTAAAGTTTTAAAAACCATAGAATCTTGTGACAAGGAGCTCCACAGTTTCACGATATGCAGGCAGTGTGCAAACTTCCGTTACCATATTTAACAGTTGTTCCTTAATATACTCCTTGGAGACCAGAATAATACCCAGTTTTAGGTTGAATACCGTTTTCAGTATTGCACCCATGCTGTTCAGGGAGAAAAACTATTTCCTCTGGAATTACTAAGAAATTATTGTCATGGTTCTGAATTAGAATA